TGGGGTCCGGGTGCGACTGGGGGTCCGGGGGTCCAGGTTGACCGGGTGGGCCGGGGGGTCCAGGTGGACTGTGGGTCTGGGGGGTCCGGGTGGGCCGGGGGGTCCAAGTAGCCCGGACGATCCAGGGTCTTCTGTCTGGTCTCCTGAAAATATGGGCTCAAGAGTAAGCTAACACAGGTAACGCTTTGAAAGAGGAACCTGGTGCATAATTGACAACCTTGAAAATGACGGAAGCTATTCCCTTGGTAAGTGTCAACATAAGGTGTAAAGCTGAAAATAACTCTACTGTTGAGTGGACTTGGGCAAGTAATATTAGACTGCACATTTGCAATACGTAACATGAGATATCCAGATTTTGTGTCAAACTTCAATCGGAAAGATTGAAGTTTGACACATTCATATTCAAACTAATCTTCAATAGCATTAGGACATGCTACTTACGTTTTAGCTCTGTTATCTTGTCCTTCAGCTTATCCATCTCCTCAGAGAGAGTGGTGACTTTCACTGCATTAGGAAAGAACATTATACATATGATTGTAAGACTCTGCAATACAACTGCGAAATTTCCACAAAATATTGTGTACGTTATCTATAAACTAGTAAATCACTTACCAGCAAAATATGCCAAAAGTATGACGATGACCAGGATTATCACAGCGCCTGTCGGCAGCAACAGTTTCTTGAGAAGGCGGAAACATTTCGTCCTTATGTCGGCGTCAGCGTCATAGGCAAAGTCTAGCAAAAAGTGGAAACAAACATCACGAATTTATTATGCACCCCATAGTAAAGCCGACTTCAGTTTGGAAATGTGACAAAGTATATTCAGGGTGATTTTTTTCAAAACAATTTTCATAGTAACGTCCTAGCTATTCTGGACGAACCCCGGGTCATATCAAGTGGATACGATAACCAATCAATTACGATCCCGCCTTCAAGATGTATATATACAAAAATGGTATGATTCTATTAGTAACAACGTAAAACTTTCTGTTTATACCGCATTAAAGGAAAACTATGGACAAAAACAATACCTCTCAAGTATACACAATCTAGATATCCGAAAAGCGATCACAAAATTAAGAATTAGTTGTCATAAATTCAACATAGAAATAGGTCGATACAAGAAAATACCAAATGACCAAAGGTTCTGTCCATTTTGTCCAAACAAGATTGAAAATGAGCACCATATGGATTGTACACTCTACAATGATAAGCGCTTATTGCTGTTCACCTTTCTTACATTCTCAGGGGAGATAACCAATACAGTGTTCAAATAGGAAAATACATTAAAGAATGTTTCGATCTTAGAGAATACATGTTGAGAATAGTTAACCTTTATTGTTACATCATACTCTGTACTCTGTACGTAAGTTGACGTTATCCACACATGTATTAGCTTTGTTAAATCTTTAGTTAAGTTGTAGAAGACCATACAAAAGTCTCTGTACTTTTTTGTTGTGTCAATAAAGAATCCTATAATGCCGACGCCTTCTTATGCACATTTTCACTCAATATTAGAGATCGTAATCATGTCGTTTGTCCCCAGTCTCACTAAATACCTCGTTTGAATAATTTTGTGGCAGGTACGCTGACCTTTAAGTCGGCAAGATGACTGATATGAAAACAGATTGGCTCTACGAACACGTATCTTTCATCGCCTAGACCAATCACTACAGAACCAGAATAGTAAAATGGGGGGGGGGCTTACCTGCTCTTGAGACGTACAGGCTGTTGGGTATACGTGCAGCAATGTTTGCAACTGTCTGCAAGTTACTCTGTGCTTGCTGTACGGGGTTGTTGGCTGGGGAAAATGTTATGTACAGCGGTTGTAGCATGAACTCGAGTAATCTGTTACATGATCAGTAAGCCCAAAATCTTATGTTGACATTGAAATTTGCAAATAAATGTCAATTCAAATCTGTTGGATCTTGGAATATGATACCAAACAGCAGTTAAATCCCGTGGATAGTGATTTGCCCCGAGAGATCTGCTTGGAGATTACAATTGCATACTTACTAGTGAATGAGTGGACCAACCTTCATTGACGCATAATTCCTACTTGACGCAAAATGCACATTACACATGATCATACTATCTCTATCTATCGAAAAATCGGGAAAAATCTCTAAAGAGAAGCACAGTTTGGAACACCTCAGCATTCTTCCATTATCGTCTCGTTTTTGACAAAACAACAGAACAGACCGTCTACTCAAATGCGTTAACACTATAAACATTCCAACAAACCCCCGTTACCCTGTGCGGTGTTCCCGGTCTGTGGCTGCCGCTGGCGTCCCGGCATTGTGACACCTGTCAGGGATCCTACAACACGCCCTACAGCAAACTATAGGCTCCGTGGTCTAAACGTACCCGGGGACCAAACTGTTTGTAAGACCCTATCGTTATTTCACCAGATTGGTATCCAAAGATTAAAGCTGTGTTGGATATGCTACCAGTACTTTACACAGCAGACAGAAATTACATTAACATTTGATTCCTGATTGGTCGCCAAAGGTCGTTGCAGTAACGTAAACACGTGACAGTTGCATGATTTCATGGAGGTCTGAGATCTCCAGATCCGAATTCTTGTTTATTAGCGTGTCTATTTCCAACCGATACAAGAAACTTGCATGCAACCTATTTGAAGTATTTTAGCTTCGTTTTTACCTTTTGAAACTCAGTATCGGAGCTAATTTTTTTAGCTTCAAATTTATCTTTTGAAACTTAGTCTCGGAGCTAATTTTTTTACATATCAACTCAAAGATATTGTTTCAACTATTAGGTGAACAACATGCTCAAATTTTAATGTTCAATTAGTTTATTAAGCGGAAACATCAAGTGAAAACGTCAACAAGAATCAGGTAAATCTCATTGCTTTATAGGTCATATTCATTTTTTGCGGCAAATTTCACATTGTCACACAACAGACACACGTGTATCTAACACATATTGTCAGCATCACGTCATACATTCGGCTTGAAATACTGAGCTTGGTACAGCTACTGGCAGATCTAGAAACCCGAAAGCTTACACGCTGCTATAGTATCAAGCTTAATAAATAATACTTTTGAGATATAATTTAAGATCGGTGTAGAATACATACAAGCTCTTTTGTTTCTCTCGCATTGGTGCATTGATTCTTCAAAGATAGTCAAAGCAGTAAGTATATATAAATACGATCTTTGCCATGTGAAATGAGTGAAACTCACTTTTTCGCGTAATGTCACCGTTTCGCGTTAACGTTACACATCATTGTTTCGCGTGATGTCAAATGTTCGCGTCATAGTCTGCTGTAGCCAGTTATCGCGCTGTTTCGCGTCCTTCGTATTTTGCGTGAAAGAATAACACTTTCCTTTTGAGACATGCCTTTCCCTTTGTCAAAACTGAAATAATAAGACATGAACTGGCAAGTAAAGATGACATTCTACCGGGAGTTCAAGGCATTAGAACTCAGCAAAACGCAAAGACGGATGGAGCCCCATTTCACAGATGACCCCGCAGTCGAAGGGGAAGCGGTCGGACCGGGGCAGACCCAGCGTGCTCTCGCAGAACTTCATGATCTTGTCCCGGTCGAAGGTTTCGGGCGCGCTGAAGAGCAGGTACACCTTCTCCTTGGCGTGGAAAATACAGATCTGCTCCACGTGATGTGCCACGTGGTGTTCCAGTGAGGTGTGGTCGGCGGCGTGCAGGTCGATGTGGTAGACCAGGCCGGCCGAGGCGCTCCACCGCGAGCACAGGCTGACTCCGGCCGGCTCATTCCTGCCGATGGCGATGTATCTCAACCCGGCGGTCCTGAGCTGGAGGGAGTCGGTGCGGCACATGTTGTACGGGTGCATGGACACCTGGCCGTAGTCCTTGTGCAGCAGCTGGCGCAGGTCGTCGTCGCTGAGCCGGGCGGCGGTGTCCTGGGTGCACGGCTGCAGGGAGAAGATCTGACCCTTGAAGTGTTTCCGATCCACCGGCATTGGCATCCCCTCGGGCTTCGAGAAGAACAGGTAGTGCTGGGGAAAAAGGAAAAGGTTCATGATATTGTGGGTGAATCGTGAATCCGGACTATAGTATTATTGTCAGGGGTAACGATAGCAGAGAATGACAACAAGCACAAGTCTGAAAACTGCGACGCTTTATGTTTTTTTTTAAATATTTGAAACTGCATGTGAAATTCTGCCACTACACAAAGATGCAATATTACAAGCGATGTACTGCAGAATTACAGACTATGACTTACCACGTTATAGATTTTCTTCATTCTTTCTTTCGGGAATTTCTGAAAGATCGGGTTGGGGTTGTCCCAATTCGACAAGAGCATACGTTGTTTCAACGTCACGGTCGGGTGCCGATATTTCATATATCTGGAGAAAAAAATCGAATGTACGAATGTAAATTAACGTTGTCTATGAAATCATGAAATCCTTACAGCTTATAGCTACCAGTTATCTCTGCAGATTACCATTCCCCCTCACGATACATTGTGAACCGCCCCGTACCTGTGCCCAAGGTCGTAGCAATATAAACCAAGGATATCGATTACTTACTGGCACTAATGGTGTTGGCCTGTTGGGTATTGTCACTTGTAAGAATGAATTGTTTTCACAATGGGTGCGTTGTTCACGCACCAAACTAATGTTGACAGGACAGGTGTGTTTTTAAGGATCACCTGTCCAGGTGTTCATCCAGGTGCCACATGATGTTCCTCCCTCGGTAGTCCGGGTCTATCCGCAGGTGCTTGTTGATCATAGCTGTCTGGTCTCCTGCCATCACGGCTGTATACGCTCCCACCTGCAGGGTGTATGCCAGTCATAGTACGTTTATGTACATGTATTTAGGAGATACAGAACTCAGTGTGGGAATCGGACAATAGCTGTGGGAATCGGACTTAACGGGTCTGTCAAACGTTGATTATTAAGAGGGCCTTTGAATTTTGAAAATAACAAAAGCTGGTAATGTGTCTGAACGTTCGTCGTAGGGGCGTGTTATAGTATATTATAAACAGCCGATTAAAATGTTGGTGTATTTTTTCAAGTTTACAATTTATCTTCTGTTCTACTTCTGGCATATCGAATTATCATCATATAACTATCATATTATCATCATTATTACCATCCTTGTTAGTAAGTTCATTGTTCCCCTCCCCCCTAACAACACACAATGCCTCCAACGGTCTGTCCCTTTGTCCATGAAAATAGAACGTACGCACGTACCAGCTTCCCCTCATGTTCGGCCACGAACACTGCAGCATTCTTGTCCACCTGATACTCGTGGAAGAAGTACGGGAAGGGGTCCACTCCGTCGAACAGACCCCGAGACAGGTGCAGGATCTGCCCGAAATCCTCGACCGTGGCCAGGCGGTAGTTCAGCTGCTCGGCCGAAGGAATGCTCGGTTTGTCCGCGGCGGTACAGAACAGTCTGGGGGTCAAGTTCAAACCCCTGCGCCGGCAGAAATATCGCTGGCCGGCGGAGAGGACTCTAGATCGCAGCATGATGCGTGCAAGTCTACTTGACACGCTAGGAGGACACGGAATTTCGAGGCGTTTTTAAGTAGCGTCGCGTCTTCAATCTTACAAGACAGACATGTACATGTAAGCAAAGCTATTCAATCCAGACATACACCACCTTGACCTCTTACGCAGGCGCAATGGATACTTATATAGGGACGGTTCATTTCAGTCTGAGGAGGGGCTTGGTGATCATACATCTCTCACGGCAGATATTATAGTCTCCGTAGTATTACGACGTTTTGCATTCTTGTTCAAGATAGCTGTTTATGTGCAGGTTTATATAATTAGCTGGTTTACAGCATTTTCTAAGTATGACTATGTAGTCCATTCATATTACTGTCATTATGAACACATTGTACTACAAGTTCTATTACACTAGAAGAAACAAATACATATCAAATGTTTAAGAGTAATAGCACATCTTTATTGACAAGTTACATCTACCCATCGCGTGATCTGTCCTTTAAATATTTGATGTATCCAGACCATTTTACCATGAGAGTAGTACCTCAAGGACTTCATGCATTTCGCTGTTCCCTTTCTCCAAGTAGTATCATTTCTATGAAAACATAATATACCAAACATACAACTGTTTTTGACACGCTCATTCCATGTATATTGTACACGGTTTGTCCCTTACGCTAATAGCTTGAGGCTATTCCGATATCGTCACGTACGCCTTAAGATGACCTTAAGTTACCTTTCGGTAAGGCGATAGCTGCACGTGCACATGCTGCCCCCTAGCGGATGAACTCATAAAGCACGGCCATATATTTCTATGCACTGTTACGATGTGCTGCGTGTCACATTTTACTGCATACTGCCCTGCAGATACGTGGATCATGACCTCAACCTCTGACCCGGCTGAGATAATTACGTTCCCCAAAAACCATCCATCAACGATTCGTACCTGTCAGTACCTGTGGGTGTGTCACAGTCCCCGTGTTAGAGTTGGGGCATACGTTTAACGACAGGTTAAATGTCATCACGCACAGATAATCACTGCGACACACACCTGGTCAAATATATCAGATATTACTGGTGTTCCTGCTAGATGGCCTTTAATGTTACCTACAGTAGTCATAACCTAAAGCAAACGTTACAAAATTAAGGTAGCAAGTTCACTCACATGTTTTATAGGTTGCTTTACTAAAAAGTTAAAGAGAGTCGTTGCATGACAATCAATAAAACACATTTCCCAAGGGGAATTTCCCCAGGCGAAATACCGCTGTCAGACAGACAAACCCAAGTCTTTGTTCTGGGACATCTTTGGGGAGGGTGTGGTAACAAATCTGTGCATTGTTTATCAAAATGGCGACTACGAAACGTCTAGTTTTCGTGGCTGTGTGGCTGTCTCTGGTTCTTGTGGCAGATGCACAGTTTCCCCGCGCGTGCACGGACGCCGTGAGCTTCGCGAAGCGGGAGTGTTGTCCTATCCCCGCCGGGTTCACGGAGCCGTGCGGCGGTGCAGGCAGAGGGCGATGTGTCAACTTCACGGATCAGACGCCGACGGATCAGAAGGGTTGGCCCGACACCTACGACACGGACGATCGCCGGCGCTGGCCTAGCGTGTTCTTCACCCGCTTCTGTCGCTGTGAGGGAAACTTTGGCTGGGCAGACTGTGGCTTCTGCAAGTTTGGGTTTTACGGCTCGAACTGTACCGAGACAAAACTTCTGACGAGAAAGAACGTTCTGAACCTAACAGCAGAAGAGAAAAACAAGTTCGTCGCCTATGTCAACAACACCAAGTACGCGCAAATCCAATACGTGGTGGCCAGCCAGTCCTACGTGAACTCAAGCGTCATCCCCCAGTTTAGGAACGTCTCTGCCTATGATTATTTCGTCTACCTGCAACATTTCGTGGATCATCTCCCAGCTGCAGGGTCATCACATACCAGCGAGGTTGACTTTGCTCACCACAGCTCGGGGTTCGCTACGTTTAATCGCGCCATTGTGCTGGGGTTCGAGCGGGCGGTCCAATTTGTGAACGGGGACTTCGACTTCGCGCTGCCGTACTACGACTGGACCAAGACGCCACGCTGCAACAGTTCGAACGTCTGCAGCAATGACCTTCTCGGTGCGACCAAGGACGCGAGCGGGTTGCTGGACGACGTGTCCGTGTTTTCCCGCTGGGAAACCGTGTGCTACCGGAACGCCACGACCGAGGACAAACCCTGTGACGTGACCGTGAAAAGCGGCCCGATCGTCCGAAAGGCAGACGGTGATCTCCCGACAGAAGAGGATGTGAATTTTGCTCTGAGGTTCACCACTTTTGACCAATCCTGTTACGACACGGCGTCCGACTGTAGCTTCCGGAATCTTCTGGAGGGATTTGTGAACACAACAACAGGCATTTATGATCCAAACGGGTACGTGATGACTCAAGCAGTCACGTAGGCTAACGATTATAAAAGAATATGCATGTATCTAAATGTTGTGTATGACGAATTCGACAGGCCGATATGGAGTTTTAGACTAACGTTTTCAAGAACGAAGCAGATTTATAGAATTTCCTCATTAATTATGCAAATCACATCATGCTTTGCATAATTGACAACTGATTATGTCAAGCTACTTAGATATGAAAATCATGACAATCCATCAATCTTTTATCGAGTTATCCTTCAAAGATTTGTAAACAAGTGCCTCTGCATTTCCAGAGCAAGCTGCTAGGGAGCCCAAACTCACACCACTTACTTCCAGCCCCAAGAGCTACTAAAACTAGCTGAAACTACTCAAAAATCATGAACCTGACATTTGCAGAAAATTTGACCAGAAACTTTGAAGCTCCGCTGCAGTACCGTAGGTACCCGCTAGTAGTTTAGCAACCTTTGAAACGTGACCAATATTGATATACACATTCTATCATTCCTCAGGAACTACCTGAACGCACGGGTACACCAGAGCCTAGGCGGGACAGGAGGGACCATGACTCAGCAGTCGTACGCTGCCAACGATCCCATCTTCTTCCTGCACAGCTGCTTTTTAGACCTCATCTTCGAGAAATGGATGCGAAAACACAAGTGAGTGTCAGACGTTTAGTCTCTACATGTAGAGCGGTGTTTCAGGCATCGCATTATCGCATCATGTGTGTTTTTGTCTGTATCATACATAGCACCAGTGTCATGTCATGTCACCATGTTATCGTTTATTGTTTTTTTTTTAACTTTTAAGTTTAAGAAAGGGTAATGTGCAGATGATGATGATGATTATTTCTCCCAGTGTTGCTGTTGAGGATGCCCTGCCCGAGTCAGGCGCCGCACCAGGCCACAACCGCTATGAGAACATCGTGCCGTTCTTCCCGCCATTTCCCCACGCTGACGCGTACAAGAGGTCCACCGAGCTGGGATACGATTATGCTGACATCGACAGCATAGGTAGGTCTGGATATTTTGTTGAACAAATTTATCTAGCAACTAGAAAAGTAACATTTGCAAAGCAAATGCACAATGTTTACCTTCGCATATGGTCTGCTCTGTTAATTCTTACTCAAAGACATTTACATATATGGTGACAGGAGTCTAAATCCCTCCTACCATAAAATTGCAACATGATGTAACCCAACACCAGTTGCCATAGTGAGAGACGGTCATTGACCAGGTCAGAAACTGAGCAGAAACAACATGTTTTCCTTCGGTAAACATAGTAAAGTCGATTTATTGCCACGCACTATATCTAAATAAATGCTAATCTTCCATTGGATTTATATTGTGATGAAGCTACGTACAATTTTTAGATTTGAAATGCCAGCTTCAGTTTCAGCTTATTGGGATAAACTTAAGCCCCTTAAGGGGCTAATTGTCCAGGGCCCCTACACCAATTACACACAGCTAGTCTACAGAAACAGACATTTACGATCACATTTATCACTACTCTCCAAGCAGAGGTTGTTGGGAAAATTGTGACATTCTTTATCATGCGCCCGGTTTTTGTCCGCCTTCCTTGTATCACATGGTATTAAAAATAGTACCACCCTGTTAGTGAACTGTTTGACATGGGATACATATATGGTCTTTACTTCGGTTGGAGAGAATTCCAGAATTATAAGGTTCCATTTCAAGATAAAACTTTACCGTCCACAGGAACGAGTGGCAGGAACATTGGGCCCACTGACTGTCCCGTGACTCCACCTACCACCAAGCCCACCACAGTCCCCGAACCTGGGGGCATCACCGGAGGGGTCATAGCGGGCTTCTGTGTAGCGGCCGCACTCGGTATTGCAGCCCTAGGGCTGGTTGCCTTCTGTGCGTTATCTAACAAAAGTAAACCTGCCCCTTAGGGTAAGGAATTTAATGGCAAAGTTAGAACGTATTTTGTTTATCATTAAAGCACATGAAATAAAATACAAGACTGCGATGGCGGCGCTTATACTACAATATACTATGCTATATAATACTTATACTACATAAAACAACAAAGAAATGTTTTGTCTGTAGAAGGTATGTTTGCTAGTAGTACTGTCTGTAAAGCTAAGGCATAGAGGGGTTACTGAAAATGGAAATTACTACAACGGCGCAAAGTTCTACTACAAAGTTCTCTTGTGCTTTGCTTTTAAATACAGGGTTCCGAATTTGATATTATGATAAGCTAGTAACGCCGTCAGAATAAACTACGCTACAATGTTATTTGTCATATATATATATATAACGTTAGTATGCAAGAAATGTAACTTGTTCCTTTGTATAATACTAGTTTTACTACTATTACTATAATCATCTATTGAGTAAAGTACAAACGTGAATATACAGAACACTTGTTACATGTTCAAAAATAGACACTTTATTACTCGAAAATACCGGAGTGACTCACAATTAATTCAACGTCGCAAGTTTTAACAATGGTTTCTACCTACCAGGAAGCCGTTTTACCAAACATTGGGGGTATTTGGTGATCACGAAAAGAAATATGATAACTATAGTTAGCCACGTATACATCTGCGATCTGTGATAGTTCTGTGTTGTTCTTAGTTACATACAGGTTAGCACTGTCTGTTTAGGTTACTGGCCTGGGTGATCTGCATATGAACATGTCTGTTTTCAACAACTGAAAAGAGTCGGAAGCCTTATAATACTGTGCCTGTTACTGTACATTGATCTAATATCGATTCTATGCATTTTGATTTCAGCTTAGTGATGAAGCCACGAGCATCAAAGCATGTGATTTATCCATATTCTTGTTATGAAAGTAACACAAGCAAGGTCTATACACGTTATTGCTTTACATCACCAAGTTAGAACGAGTAATTTCTTTCTCGATATACTATAATACTAGCGGGAAAAAAAGTGGAACTCAACATGCATTGCCGACGTATACCATGTACGACTTTAATTACAGATTAGATTTGTAGGTAAATGCATAAAACACCTGTTTTATTTGAAGCTACGTAAGCTGTCACATCACCGGTTTTTATCATATACTTTTGCGATGCCTCATGCGATAGTCACTGGCACTGCAGGTAGCGCAAAGCAATGCCCAAATGGAGGGCGGTTTTAGAAACTAAAAGGACATTGCGAGATTTTATACCTCACTGTCTTCCGTCAGGGTAAGGCTATACCGATGGTTATATCAACATAACCACCACTTTTGTCAGTATTATTTGTACAATACAACAGCTGAACGGAATTTTTACAACCCAGCGTTAGGGCCTTCTATAGCCTCTGAACCATCATGAGGGTAACACCCTTCAAGTCACCATACACCTTGTAATCGTAACAAGCTTGTTTCCAAGTCATAGATGTGCTATGTTGGAAGGGTACTACTTATCCAGTCCAGTCCCCATTACCATGTTGGATAAACATTCGCTTCGCGGATATGTCATTCACTACACAAGTACATGTACTGTGCGTTAGCGCAGTCTAGCGACAACGTCTGAGACTGCAGTCAGTCATACCAGAGAAGCTTTGTACAGGTACATTGACGCCCTCTAGTACTAATCGTCAATTGTTTAAGAACGCACAAGTGCCTGGGAATCACAACGCGAATGTTTTCACCAACGGTATGAGGGCGAACAGCGCCAGACTAGCGCCAGCGGACACCGCCGTACTTCTGGGCCCGGTCGTCTCTGACAGACTCTCCTCCACCACGTCTTCATGTTCTGTAGGAATTGAAGAAAACAGATTTACAAGTTTCTTAACTGCAAGTTTTTGCGAGTCTCAGAGCATTTTCTTTTAAATGATCAATATTTTGCTTCATTTTCAAAACAGAAAGGGCTGTAGTCGTGAAGAAGGTTTACTTGATGATATATAAGAATGTGTCATTGTCGTTTACAGATCGATATTTGTTATTAATGATGTACGTCCTTACGGCAGTTTTCTCCGTGGAAACCGTTCATACACGTGCAGGTGCAGTCATTCACTGTGTCCAACACTCCGCCGTTGTGACAGATCTTCCCGCCACAGCAGGTGTTCCCGCTGTCTTCAGAGGCAAACGCTGCAGGAGAGAAATGTTTCAATGTGAGTGTACATCCCAAGGATGGCAAACGCACATTAGTGACAAGACATAAAGAAGGGTTCCGGTTTTGCCTTCAATTTTGCCTTGAATACGTATCCACAAATATCTACGTACCCACACATCCCCACTACCGCAGTACCCACACATCTCCACTTACCGCAGTACCCACACATCTCCACTTACCGCAGTACCCACACATCTCCACTTACCGCAGTACCCACACATCTCCACTTACCGCAGTACCCTCACATCTCTACTTACCGCAGTACCCACACATCCCCACTTACCGCAGTACCCACACATCTCCCTGCAGCCTGTCTGCAGCATGGCTAACCTCCCACAGGCGGCCTGCGGGTAACCCGGGTTCTCGTAGCAGCCTGCGTACGTGTTGTTACACAGATCTGGCCGGGGACACAGGGAACAGTTAGGACCTTCATACACTACCAGAGTAAAACATGGCGCACACGAGTTCACCGTCAATGTGGTCATCAATTCAATTCACTTAAGCCCTACATTTTACTACCAAAATGAGAACATATTCTCACAACTAAAACAGGTATACATGCGTAAAAAACAGACCATAAAGAGGCGTGTTGCTGAATCTGTATATACCACTGTGTTTCCTTTGTTGAAGATGTATGTTTCATATACTCTTCTATTTACATCTTTTCTGTATTTTCATATCCACACACGTAACCGTTCCCCTGACCTGCACAGTCCAGTCCGTCCCAGCCGTCCTTACAGCTGCAGGTACAGGTGTCCGTGTCCAGTTCCCCACAGTTCTGACACACCAGCGGACACTCTGCGACAGGGAACATGTATGTGTCAGTCTACAAGAACGGCTTCTACCGACTATATAGGATAACTTTATGGCACAGGGTACAAAGTACACGTATGGCATCTACTTGTACATATTAACTACATTTTCATAAGGCTAACCTAACTAATACAAGCCTGTGTGGCTAGTATGGGATAGGTGTGAACTTTTACAATCATTGGAGGTATTTCCAGCCTTCCAGGTAAGACCGAGGATTGTTCAATGTCACGGCCGTGGAATTGACCACATTAGTGGGACTTAGTCTAATACCTATAAGTATTACAGTCTTTAATATATATATCCCTATGTATGATCTCCCGACAAGATTGACAGAATTTGACAGAATTATGCTCGAGCCCCAGAGGAAATTTCACACTGCAGTCTAGTCTTGTTGACGTGATGTATCAAGGTCGTAAAAAAGGTCGACGTGAAGGTCTCATTAAAAATGTTTTCACATGAAAAGGTTGAACTTTATGCCTTTCCGTCAAGGACGGGGGAGAAGGCAGGTCGGATATAATGACACTCACGGGACCCATCAACTCTCCGAGACGGCGTGTTTCAAATTCAAAATAACCACTCTAACGAAATCCCTGGGTTCAGTCAGTTGTTGAAGCTGTTACGTTCAGATGAAAAGAAGGAGTCTAATGGAGGGTTGACACGCGGAGAGGCCAGAAGGTCAGGTATGTACGTAAGTCTGCTAACTCCTGGGTAATGGCATGGAAAATGACTGTCTTTCACACATATGTCGGTAAGCCTGGCTACAGATGTTATTTTGGTCAGTGCTGCTCCATGGTGTAACTAACACGTAACGTACTCATTTTTGCGAATCCACTAGTCTAAAAGCTGCATTTTCATCTCATCCTTCCAGTTGAAACGTGAAATTGTCGTCTTCGAAGTGCCTATGATGTGAAAAGCAGGCGTCTTCGCACGCAAATCCACAGGTTTACTCCGCACCCACACATGAAGTCCAACCCTATTGCAAAGTTTCTACTTCGGATTAAAACGTAATCACGTGATTGTCACGTGAACATGCAGTGACGGTTTTTTCCTACTTACAATGTGACCTCTCCCGACCGTTCTGCCCTAACTTCACAAAGTCATCTCTAACGACTTTATACGGACTATTAAGCTCTCGTATTCTCCAATGTTGTCAATAATCTTGTAATGTACTTACCACAATCTCCATCTTGGCAATCCACTGAAACAAAGAGAAGAAAGCGCAAATGGTAAAACTGTACCCATGTAATACGTCTTGTAAAGATACGGCCTCACCCACATGTTATTGCTTATCAAAACATGAAGTATCAAACCAAACCAACATTATATCATATACAATAAGAAGAAACGCGTCTAATGGTTTGTAATTGTGTCAGTTATTTTACATGGTTTTTCGAAATGATATATACGATGTTCAATATATGACTTACAAGAAACACGTACAGGAATACAAAGACCGTGTATGTTGAGTGCATCTTTGATTCTACCAGTGCTCTGGGGCAACTAAGACGCCGATGGCTCGGCTCTTCCTTATCTCTTCTCCATTATCGGATAAAGGCGGACGTTAAGGCTAAACTACCTCAGTAACTTAACATGCGGCCTCTTATCTGCCGACAGTGCATCATGTTCTGACGTCCGTCCGGTTAAATCAGCATTGATTGCCCCACTGCAATTTCTAATCTCTCTGCACGCGTCAGTGGCTAACAGTGGGGATACTTTGTCTCCGCTACTCCCGGACAGTCCTACATATCTGAAATCGAAGTCCATCCTGCCGGAAGACTGAATGTTCGGCACTTGACCCTGAAGTGACTAATATGTGTGGCAGACGCCGCGAGATGAGGCCAATAGGGGTGACGTGCCCCAGGAAATTGGCATAATTACTTGGCGAGATGAACCTCCACCTCGGATATTGTCTTGGACAACTCTCAACACCGTGCCGCGGCGAGCAGTACCGCCGCCCGGCACCAGTTCAATCATTGGGCGTTAAATTTGAGCGTGTTTATTTCAACTATCTATAGATCTAACTAGTGTTGAAAATAAATCTGTTTTGATGGCGATTGCATGGAGTGAATATAAAAATGACGAATAGAATAGTTACAAGGAGAGAAAGTAAGCAGAGAATTTATAACTTGTATATTTATTTTGACGTGATACAAATAAAGTTTCGTGTTCAGCAGATTCACATGATATAACTGTGGTGAAAACTTGTTGATCCGTCATCGCCCTCAGTGCCGTTTATACAGTTCTGACATTTGTGCAAATTGACCATTTGTCATTCTGAGACGAGAGGTACAATTAGAAGTGCCTCAAGATGAGTAGAAATGACACGGGCGTCCCAGGTATCGCTATCACCTGTAGACATCTCTTAATAACACTTCGCGTTACTCTCAACTGCCTGTCTGATTGGTACCGTCTAGGCAAAGTACTACCTGTGATTTCCCTCATGGTTCCGGTATGTTCTTCTATATCTCTAAACTGTTATACCTGTGGCACTGACATATTGGTAAGGGGGTGATTGGACGAGACGCTAGGATGTCACACAGGGGGAATCATCACTCCTAGATCTCTGAAAAAAACTACTTTGCACAACGCAGTTGTCGTCCCAAACCACTGGATATGGAGAAAAAAGTTTTCGCACAACTTGGTTAAAGGCGCGGTCACATTTCCCAACCCGGGGCCCGGCCGGGCAGTCGTTTGGAACGAAAATTATGATATAAGAGAGCAAAACACAACAAAAGTTTTAGAAAATTAACCATGAGCACTATTTTTGTGTACTCTTAATACAAATTGTCTATTTTTCGTTCACGCAAACAACCCGGTCGGGCCCCGGCTTGGAAATGTGACCATGCCCTAAGAGGGAAAGGTACGTTTCGTGACCTTTCGTGGCTGTGCATTTGAAACCACTTTGAAAACAACATAATGAAGGTAAAACACTTCCAGTAGAGACATTAGTGATAGACCACCCCCGAGGACGATCGATGTAAAGTTATGTCGGTTCGAAACAAGGCATTAGACGGCACTTAAGGGATGACTCCGTGTTTTCAGATTTGCTCCTGCAGATATGCTAAAACGGTCAGTAAATGGTGTAATACTTTCACAACGTGTAACTGACAAGCAGACGACATAAGTGGGGTCGTAACGACAGAGCGTTTGGCTCGGAACCAAGAGGTCCGGAGTTCGAATCCTGGCCGTTGCCACCGATCTTATGCCCTTGAGAAAGTCACTAATTTCCTCACTTCACTCAGGTGAAAATGAGTATGTATGTTGTCCGTTCATGCGTTTGTCTGCGTTGGTGGCATGAAAATAAATTTAAAAACTTGAGTGTACCGTCGCTATGTCTTGTAATAAATGTTAAGAAATAGGAAAAAAAGATGACATACATACCGCACAGTCCGTGGTCGCACCACCCGGCACCACTGGCGCACTTCGTACAGGCCGTCCCCACTTTGTACGGGGGGACTCCTTGGTGATTACCACTGTAGAAAATACACATATTTCATCACCAACATTTGCAGATAGATCTCTTTTATGATTAGCTGCAACGCGCGACCCGATTGACTCCAGATTGATTGCAGTGAGTCTCTCGCCTGGACCTCAAGCCAATTCGTTTGAGTAACAGTAAAAGCACTGCAAAGATTGATTTCCATAATCTTTCCCTCTAACTTACCACGTGCACCCTCACATGGAGGATTATCCTGAAATATGGTACCAGCACTATTTACAGGGATCAGTGGAAGCTAATCTCACAAAGTAATTACAAGCAGATTACATGCTAGTCGGTATAACGTGTTTGCATAATTCAAAGACCTCTGTGTGATTTAGGCCCCTGGTAGCTTTCCATCGATCCAGTTGTCGACAACGATGTTGTTAATGAATGACCGTTATGAGTATATCATACGTTATGACTGTATAATCAATATGTTTTCAATTGTGTCTGAAATTACTTTCATAACGACCTTGGCTTGTCATTGCACAGGACATGGGAATATGGGCAGAAGCCAGGCGTTGAGGTAGTCTGTAATAAAGCCGGCTACACAGCCATCCCCCCTTACAATATTTAACACGTGAGGTATCGATTGGTGAAAATACGGGGGAAAGTAATTATGGTAAGCTCGTAACTCTGAATAGATTTCCGTGAAACCATTCCCTTCTCGTGAATTGTAATTGTTACGGGAACCGACGAGTATGGGCGAAACAGTCAGTAGTCTGATCAAACCTACCGAAAACAACATTTATGCTGATCCACTGGTTTTCTCTGGTCTGATTTCGACAAATTGACATGTTTGTACTTTTCCTGTTTTGTCTATCTATCCAGTAAGTGAGGCGGTCACTTTGAGGCCACCGATAGCTTTTCTTACGATAGAGTGTGGTATGATTAGGGTCGACATGGTCTGGTGATCGATACATGTGATATTCATGGAGATATATGGGAAACGCCGGGAATTCTAAGATACTTGAGCTGTGATTGTCCTGTTCAAAACCTTGATCTTGCACTGTTTGTTTCCTTCTGTCATGTACTGTGTAGAGTAGATTGAATATCAGCTATTTATCTTTAGCCAATTGCAAATCGCTGTTTCCCTGTACTTCCTCTGGAATTCTGAACAAGTGCTGGCTTAGATAGAACCGTGTAGTCGCGCTAGCCTCCACACATTCTGAATAAGAAAGCAGCAAGATGAGACGGTACGGAGAGACTACAGCATCATATCACCATACTATACTGTGCCGCGTAATGTTGGTATTTCACACAGTTTGTGCATATTTCCTCCTCTAGCTTGGGCAGTAGATTACGCATGTCAACATTGCCGAAACATAAACAGCCCATGTCTTCTCATGTGAAATTCCATTTAAACTTTCTATGGTGAAACGCTGCTATTTCCGATCTATCGATCACACTTGTATTGGCGGGAACCACTTTTTTATTTGTCTTTCACCCGCGGTTCAAGGGGAATAACACGGATGAAGCCGTAAAATATATGAGTGTTAAATATGCATGGAGGAGAGCCTTTGATGTAGGATGAAGCAAAGATACAGCTGCGGTAGGGTCGCCGCATTTGTCACACTAAGTCAGAACAGATATGCCTAAAGAGGGGCTGAATAATGGGGGAGGAGAATAGAGGCGAAGGGTCGGAAGAACGGATAACCTTTGAAAGGCTGTATCAACCTGAGCACTTACATGAATTCAAATGCCGCGCATAAACACACCTCAGGGAATATTTGTTTAATGTGTTGGAATTTCCTTTCAAAGTGGGTCAATATCAAATAGCGGCAACGTTTTTAAGGCGTCTATCTACAGTCATGCTTTGAATTCAAAAGCTAGATTGTTGCTTTCGCCGACGTTTAAAATTTTTAGAAAGAGCGAAGGTATTAGTTCCTATGTTAAGGAAATGAGATGATACTGGCAGGAGTTACTCGAAAAGGTGATAGAAACTCTTCAACCGCCGGATGTGAAAGTTGTAAGAGGGATGGCAGGTTCAGAAACTTTGTAGCATATTGTTGAAAAGCGATGACCTATGAGCAATATGGCTTATTTTCTGCGGATCTAAGAGGCCAAAGTGCCCATGTGAGACCAGGTGTGAAATTCCGGCGCCGAGTTAGCCAGAAAAGGGTAGTCAATCCCCTCACACTTGAACTCTATGATTGTAGGCAGGCTTCGAGCAATTTCAAACATTTCTGCCTTTATTCTGCGGTTACACAGAGGTGGAATATGTTGACACACGCATTCAGGTTTGTAGATTGGTGAGTCTCCGAGGCCTCGCTCGCAAGAGATCAGGGGCAATCGAATACGCCGACATTTGAGTGGATCGTTTTCAGCGTCTTCAAACACCGAGCCTGCAATCGTCACCGTGGATGATTGTGTATTCACTGTGACCTTCGGTTGTGACCTCTCAGGGGAGGACCAAGTTTGCCCTCCAAATGTTCCTTCGACTCTACAAAGGCAACAAAACGATAGGTCGCTATATCTTTGCTTAGTGTTTTGATGCCGTGGATTTCTTACTAATCTGTAATGAAGATATCGTACTGAGCATACTTCCGTCTGACTTTTTAGGTGATGACCTTGGTGCTGAATTGACGATTGTTTAGATGTTAACAGTGCACCTAACGGAAGATATGCTTCCTACTCCTACCAAGTCATATATCACGTGGGGTCGTGTGGCGTAGCTGCAGCGTTCTCGACTCGGAACCAGAGGCCCCGGGTTCGAGTCCTGACATGCCACCGATCTTGTGTCCTTGGGAAAGGCACTTTACACGACTTTCCTCACTTCGCTCAGGTGTAAATGAGTATTGTACTGTCCCTGTGTTGGTGGCGGCATTAATATAAGTTGAAAAAACTTGAGTGTGCCGTCACCACGTCTTGTGATTGCATGTTTCGAAATATAAAAAAAAAATATATCACACGATCTCATCATTACAATGGCTGTGTATCAAAGGTTACTGAAGAGTTTCATGTTTATATGGTGACAAAAGACACTGGAAAAACAGACAAATGTAACACCGAATATAATAGACACTGTAACAGCAAGCCTGTCAGCGCACACAGATCCATCCAGTATTTTCTTTTGCCATGATCAGAGCTGTCTTTGCATAGGGATTGAATACACACAACCACTACTACTTACCATGTGGACAGCTCATGTCTTTTCTAGTGAATAAGTAAAGACGCCTCGGGGAAAAGACTAATATCCCCAAAGACGACAAGGACGTGTGCGTGATAGGAATTTGGATCTTGCCTTGGCTGTGGAAGATTGATTAGTCATGATAACTAAGCATCAACGAGGTCATTCAATGTGTACAGAACATGCGAAATCCATTTTTTCCGCAAATCCGAAATCCATTTTCTCACAATATGTCGCGGTCATGTATGTTTATTCATTAAAAATACTGTCATACAAAAATCCTCAAGTATCTTTGTCAAATCTATACTTGCATCTTTCAAAGCAGAGACAGAAAGAGGCCCCAGAATGTTGTTTTCTACACAAAGATAGCATTACACTGAATGTCAAAAAGAAGACGTATTGGGGGTCATGATCACCTTTGTTATGTGTACATTATGTTGTCCCATAAATATGAGAGACCTGCACGGCTTGTAAAATATTAAGAGTCACCGTAAAAACAAAGATCGATTCTCTTCAAATTATTCAATTCTCTTATGGTGGTACATTACATCTGAATTATGCCTGCCACAATGCAGTTCAGTCCTGACATAGAATTCTGCATGGCCCTGAGAGAAAGTGTATCTGTACGCAGATATTCTGTCACGCATTTATTTGTCGTCTGTACGTGTAGCTATGATTTATGACGCGTTCACGTCCCCTGACCCTGCCCTTTTGTCTTGGCTGTATGATAGATATGGTGTGTAGATGGAAGCTTGCAGGCAGACGGCAGACTACTCGTACGGTGGAAACGACCCTTTCTCTGGGATCATTTGATATGCGTCTCGAGTTAGAATGTCAAAATCACGCCGTCGATAAACATATATCGACAGAGTAAAAACGTCTCCTTTCCGTTTGAACTTCATCGTGGTTTTCACTCAAACACTTCGAAATAAATTCACTTTCAATAGTTATAAACAACCAACAATATTGCAGTCACAGTCCACACACACACAAAATCTTGTCTATCTAGACACACTTAGAGCACAGTCGGGACCTTGCTATTGTATTGTGCTCTGATGTTTGGTTGTCATGACTGTGGACACTTTTTCCCACCTGGGGGTACATGAGACAAGATACAACGTATCGTAATTGGAACCTTCTGCCCTAAAGTATGACAATAATGGCCACTTTCCTTAAATTTGATTCAGAATATCATAGTTACATCGTGTTTTAGAGACGACCAGCTGAGTCAGACAGGCGAGATGGTATCAGAGATTATCAAATTTGGTATAATGAAGACTATACAGTGATATAATAACGCATAGGCATGGCCATTATTCTTCTATTGCTGCAGCTTATTAGAGATGGGGCATTAAAAGTTGGCGTCCGTCAGGATGTTGATTTATGTACTTCAAGTCTGTGGCAGGACAGCACATCAAACAACGTGTCTGGTCTAACACCGTAAAAACTCAACCTTTCCGTGGTATTTGATTGGAAGTGTTCACGTGAGTCTGCCTAATTCTAGCCATCAATCAAGCTCGGCACACGCAGGTCTTTCAGAAGGAAAAAGAGAGAATCAAGCCCCTTGCAGCTGTCGAATGCCCAATAGGAGGTATTATAGACTATAGACTTCAACAAGTATCTTTTTGGCGCGGTGATGGACATATTTTACGGCATTGTCTTCAAGATGACAGCTATAGTTCTTACAATAGCGTAATACATCAAGGTATTATGCTACTTACATGAGCCGTCTCATAAAAGTATGTGGCTATTTATGTCTTTATATTGATACAGGGGACAGTGTGCATCCAGGAAAGCGTGGATAGGGAACCTAGCAGATATCTCAGAGAAACAGTCAGGTGTATTATAGGCTTATAGGGAGG